ACAAGTTGACACTGAAAGCGAAGTGACCCTTATTCCGAAGAATTTTGGGGAACAACTATCGAAGCGAAAATTAAAGAAAAGCTTAGTACGATTAATACAGTTTGATGGAACGTGTACAAAAATATTAGGTCCCTTTCAATGCACTTTTGAAACCAAAAAAAATAGACTGTATAAAAAGTTACGGTTTAATAGGAACTGATTTGTAAATATTAATAGCACAAGTTTACTTAATGCTATGAATACAGGAAACCACCAAACGGGGAAATTAAAAAATTATAAAGCGAGCCTTAAGTTAAAAAGAAATAGCAATCACTCATATTTTGAAAGCCATAGGCTTCCCATTCATAGAAAGCCAATAGTAGTTAATAAGCTGCGAAAAATGGTGTAAGAAGGCATTCTTCATTATGCAGAACCTGGAGGCAGCAAATGGACATCGCCTATTGTGATTTTAAGAAAACCTGATGGTAATTTTAGAATTTGCAGAGATTACAAAGTAGGCATAAATCATAAGATTTGTTTGGATTCCTACCCTATTCCAAACATGGAAAACATATTATATTCTCTGGCAGGAATGAAATATTTTACGAAAATTGATTTAAAAATGCGTACCAGTAAATTCAAATAGATGACAAAATCACTAAAGTAAACTCCCCCATAGGCTTACTTAAATTACTCTGCTTCCCATCTGGAATAAAGACAGCCGGCTCGATTTTTCAAATAGCTATGGAAATTTTGTTAGCGAAGAGAGTGGAAAATCTGATAATTTATCAGGACGATATATGTTTTGGTGCGGCCACTAAAGAAGAACTGAAACAAAAAATATTTTGTAATAGATAAGTTGAGGAAGGCAAGAATGACGATAAGCGAAGACAGGTGTATATTTGATTGCAAAGAATTAACATTCTTGGGTTTCCAAATTTCAGAAAACGGTACTTGGCTGGCCCCGACGTTAATACAAAATTATTAAATGTATCTTCTCCAACTAATAAAAAAGAATTGGAATCTTCTCGGATTACCCAATTTTTATAGCAAACTAACAGCATGGCCCGGCGTTTCCCGTGCTTGATTCAAAAATTGTACGACTCATACAGCAATTGCTATCACTTGACTTAAAATATTTTTGCCTTTCCTTGCCTTTAAAGGAGTGCCCTTTGCCCTGCTGATGTTGCTACATGCCTTACTTCTCACGCTGCGAAGTTTTTCTAAGCTCTATACTAAACATTAAATCTGTTACGAAAAAGAACTAAACAAAATGAACACAAAATGATCAGCTTTAAAAAAGGACTCGTAACTGGAAAAACCGAATGAAAAAAGAATGTTAACAACAAATACCTTTTCACACACAACCCAGTTCTGCAGAATCAGAATCAACGTTGATTTTAAGCAACTGAATGAGCCAACTGAAGTAAAGTGCCATGCAGATTTAATTTTTTCCCACTTGTGACGAATGCAGCTATCGATTTTCTTTGCATGCTAGCATGCAAGTTAACATTCGTGTCAGTCAGCTGTTGGCTCACACGCTGGCCAATAGAATCTTCCTGTCTATTCGTGGCATCCAGCTTTAGGCTCTCACTCTGGCCAGTAGAAAATGGCCACAAACTACATGAAAACTGCCGTAGAAGCATGAAAAAATCGATTATTTCCTCTATCGCTGGGAATTGGGAAATGCAAAGTCGGTCTTGGCCTTCCCGCTAACTTAGAGCATGTTCATGTTAATGTTGGTGCAAATCCGTCGAACATTGCGGCCGTGCATTTGTTACACACACATACACACACACACATCCTGTCTTTTATAGATAGAGATTCTTGTCAAAATATTCTGAATGAATTGAAGAATTTTCTGAGTTGCGACAGAAGAATAAGGAGTTTGAATGGATTAGTACACACTAAACAGCCTTCGTTAAATCAAAAGGAAGAAAGAACACCGCGTGATGTATGTTTCCAGAACATTGAAACTAGCTGAATTAAACTACTCTAATATTGAAAAGGAAGCACTTGCGATTGTATGGAGTATGACCAGAGCAAGACAAATTTTATTTGGAAAAAGATTTTTGTTGAGAGACGATCATAAGCCCTTAGAATTTATATTCCAGCCTAGGAAGGAATTGCCGAAAACTACATCATCCACGATATTAAGATGAAACCTTCCTAAGATTATTATTGAGTTACAGAACGATGCCACATGCAGACAGATTAGAGATCCCATCTGCACTAATGGGCAGAGAGATCAGTTTGTTTTACGGCATATTAACCTCAATGGGTTAATTAATGCCGACAAAAAATTTTATTGCCCGTAATATTTTGTTTTGGGGAAAAATCTGTTTCTGGTAATATTTTTCTTTCAAAAATGTATTGCTGTTAATTTTTATTTTTCAAAAACCTATTCCTGCTAATAGTTAATAGCTGGGAGCCTAACAGGTGCTACCAACCAGGGTGGACCTGGGAACACCAGCAATTAAGAGGTAGTTCCACGCTTCTCAAAACCTCCTTATCAGAGGCCTTGCTGCTGGATGTAGTTTATCGTCTTACTCAGGACGCGGATGTAGTTTAATGTCCTACCCAGAACGAGTAGACCAGTTAAGAGCTAACCAAAATTACGAGGAAGTACAAAGTGAAGCTAGTTTGACTGACTATATAGATGAACAAGAAAGCAGGGCAGGGGAACCAATGGACGATCAAAGTTCTTGGGAAGACTCGGAGTACAAAACATGAAACACTGAAAATAAATGAACTTGATCAAGGTTTCTCATAATGAGAAATACTTGTGAAACCAGTGAGAGGTGGGGGAAGTAGGAGAAGCCGTAGATCCACGCAGGGCATGAAACTCAAAAGATTCAGTGAGATGTAATGGGATTGGTTTAGCTAATAGGTAATTAGAATAAAGAGAGCTATAACTCTAGCTCACGGGCAACTATGAATCAGTGTACGTAGAATATCTACAGCTACTAAGTCTGATCATCATAACACTATCTAATCATTTATCAGTATTAACCCCTTGTTTTCCCTTTCTAAGGGGTCCTTCGTTACAACCTTACATCTTGACTCTTATCTGGATTGTTCAAGTGACAAAATATCAAATAAGAAATTTATCTCACCAGTCTTCATGGCTGATCATGAATTTATCAACAGTGGTTCATTCATAACAAAGGGAATACTATTAAAAGAGTAAAATAAAACTATTAAAAATGAGTACAATGATGTCATCGATGTAATGGATGCGCCACTATATCAATGACGTCATTATACACATTCATAAAATAAACTCTCTACGTCTGAACAATTTTGAGAAA